TATACATACACGTGTACACACACACACTCACACATATATATATATATATATACATACATAGGTATTTATACATACACGTGTACACACACACACACATATATATATATATATATATATATGCATACAGACATACATATACATAGATATTTTGAAAATATTAGTATATATACATATACATATACACAAAAAAATTAGTATATTTACATATACATATTCGAAAGGTGCAAGCAACATATCAGTAAGGACGAAGAAGAACAACTTACAGTAACCATCCGGGTCCAAGGCGAACGCAATGCCCTTCATACGGCCGTCGTCGGGTTTCTTCTGGAACTTGACATCCTTTGCTAGCAACATATCGGTTGTCTTGTAGACATCATCAACCTGAAAAGAAGCGCAATGCGAAGTTAATGTGTGCATGCAATATGACGATATGCGTGTACATTATACATCGTAACTTGTTTTCCGGTTAAAGTGAGATGGAATACACTAGTGCCGTAAGTGAGCACACTATAACGAAACAGAAAGAAATACGGGTCACATGCACAATGCAAAGCAATATATCATGTCCATCTACGACACACAATCAGCATAAAGAGGGATACATTGCAATTTCTTATGTATGTTTATATTGGAACGAATATATATATAAATATATATATATAAGTATATACATATATACATATGTATATATACATATACATACATACATACATATATATGTATATACATACATACATACATACATACATATGTCTATAGATATAGATATAGATATATATGAATACATATGCTTATTTACGCTAATGAAACAAGACACACACGCAGAGGGTACAAATATACTCACCATAAAAGCAACATGTCCGAAGCCTCGGGGCTCTGTATTGCCGCTGTGGTAGGTGGTGTCATCCTTCTCGGTGCCATAGTTGTGAGTTAGTTCGAGCGTAGTACCCTCCCAACCCCAGAGGAACTCAGTTGCTTCCTTGGAGCCCACCTCTGTGTGTATGGTAGTGAATGGTATGTGTATGTAGTTGGTACTATTGTAAATGTATGGTCGTGCATGGCCTGTGTGTATATGATGTATTGGGTACTTTTGTATATCTCGCACAAGCATGGGTGGAAGAAGTTTATATGCGGATGGATATTGTGATAGAAAGTACGCCCATTAGTTGATTGTAATTAAATATACGCCCATGCAGTTGATTGAAGGCTGATTGATATAAACGCATGTTTTGTTAATGCGTGTTTACATACGAGTCCACACACACGCTAGGTTGATCCACAATACCGTTGCAACGAAATAAAATTTAAACTTCCCTTCCCCGGTAAACATACACTTGTTCTGAAAAACACACTAAAGTATATGACCTTTTATGGCATAGAAGTATATAGTCACACATACACTTCGATCACATAATAGTATATAGGCTTTAAGCAAGTATAAAACCGTCAAAGTTATATTTGGCATATCCACATCCGAACGCATAGAACGGGGTACTCTCAAATTGTCTGCCCTACACTCCAGCTGTATTCTCACACGAGTACATCATATTATATGACTATGCTCAGCAATGTTAGTCGGAATAGACCCATACATATACAGACATATATAGTCATATACACACACACCCTATAAAAATACATGTATGTTATCCTGAATACATCCATACATATATAGACATATACATACATACCAAATAAATGCACATGTATGTACATGCGTACAATACACGATACCTACCTGGAAGCTTGGCCTTGAGCGCTTCATCCACCGTCGCCATAAAATAGAGTGAGAATTCCCATTCCGGGAAGTCTAACTGCAGGACAAACGGGAAACAAGGTTCAATTATTGGTTCATTATAGAAATGAATTGAGTCGCGGTGTGCCACACACACACACACGCACACACACACACATATATATATACATACACTCACACGCACACATATATATATATGATACTTTTATTCACGCATACTTGTGTCCAGGCACATACTAAATATCATGTGCAGCAGATGCAGAGCAATAGAAAAGTAGAGGATGCAACACCAGTAGCAGATAGAAAGCACGTCCCAGTATCGAAACCAATACCAAAGTTGGCAACACAGAGTGCACTGCAGTTTGGGACCAAATCACACATAAACGCACACACATACCATACGCTCACACACATATATATACACATACCATACGTTCACACACATATATATTCACACGCCATACGTTCACACATATATATATATACATCCCATACCTTCACACACATATACGCACACACATACCCTACCTTCACCCACAAATATATACAAACATACCGTACCTTCACCCACATATACATACACATACCATACCTTCACCCACACATACATACACGTGCCATACCTTCACCCACATATACATACACATACCTTCACCCACATATACATACACATACACATACCTTCACCCACATACACATACCTTCACCCACATACACATACCTTCACCCACATATACATACACATACCTTCACCCACATATACATACACATACCTTCACCCACATATACATACACATACCTTCACCCACATATACATACACATACCATACCTTCACCCACATATAGATACACATACCATACCTTCACCCACATATAGATACACATACCATACCTTTTGCACCAATGTCATGCCACACAGATCACGGTAGAAGGCGAGACTCTTCTCAGGGTCCTTCACTCGCAGCATAGCTTGCTGAAACGTAGCCATGCCTTTGCCGGCTGTCGCACTCTCACTGCGCTTGATCATCTCCACCCAGTAACCGTCTGGGTCGATGCTGAATGCCAGCCCTTTCATGTTTCCGTCATCGGGTTTCTTCTTAAAAGACACTCCTGCCTGTGATACATGCATAACACATGACCTGGATTTAGCGGTCCTATATATATATATATATATATATATTACAGCAGGAATGACTATATACATCACCGTATGCTGTATGTAACGCTTTTCTTGTCTGTGCTAGACACACAACACGTGACATGGATTTAGCAACCCTTCACACCATGATTACCAATGTACGTTAACGTATTGCACTATACCTAATGCCTTGCCAAGTATTTGCATTGCGAGGGACACTACACTATAGGTCTGTTGACAATTCTGATTGGACATAGACTGCACCATACCGCTAACATCTCATCGGTTTTGGCGTAGACATCGTCCAATAGAAATCCAACATGCCCGAAGCCCCTTGGATCGGTGTTGCCTGTCAAACGTATTGAGAATCAAAAAGTAAAGCCGAGTCAATATCTAAGTAGACTGTATGTGCGAGCACTTACGCGGGTTCGTATAGCCTTAAACTTGGTAGATATATATGTGCAAACAAGGTATATATGTATATATATATACTCTAAGCTTTTTAGAGCTATTGCACACAGAAGCAACCGCGCCATTGCAGACAATGTACTTATTTGCATGAATACACAAGTGCACAGTAAAACTAGACACATCCCCGTGAGTGTGAAATAGTAACGTATCGTGGTACAAAGTATCTTGAGTATGCTCACACACCATTGTGGTAGCTGAAGTTGGCGTCATCTTCCGTGCCATGGTTGTGCGTGAGTTCTAGGCAGCAACCGTATTCACCCTTTGCTCGGAACTCCTTTGCCTCGGGTGTTCCGGGTTTGGGTGCGGTTTGGCCGGGGAGCAGAGTGATCAGAAAGTACAGAGAAAACTTTGCATCCTGCGGAGACAAGAGATAGTTACAGATCAGACAATTGTCTAAAAATAGGGGTCTTAGTATGGTAGTAGTGTTCATAATATGAACATATGTTTATATGAAGTACATAGAACAGTGATGTGGGTGTAGTGTAATCGAACGAGCACGTCACCATCTTGATATCAGTTGTATATCCGGCAGTGGCGTGATTGTGATTGATCTTGTTGAATACTTCAAACACGGACAGAAAGTGCCATATATATATATATACGACCCTAAACGTTAAGTTTATAAACATATGTGCACATGCCAATATAGGTATTAGGGATACTCTGTGCATATATATATATATATATATATATGTATGCAGATACATACATAAGAGTGCGTATGTAAATATATGAACTTATTCAGCTGCAAATATATGTATGTATGCATGTATATATATATATATATATACGTAAATATATGTACATATGTATACACACACACACACA